GAGCCAGTTATAGAATATTAATATGGAGAAATAATAGACACAGAGTTTTAGAGCCACAGAGCTCAGGAGGCGGTACACTCCTCTCCTTGAGGCTTCCCATATGCCGCCCAAGTATCAGGCTGGCTCTGTATTGACTTCATACATCAGTGTTACGGTCATAAATCTCACGAAGGCAAGGCAAACAGTCCCGTCAAGGTTCTTGCTGCTCTTGCCTTCCTACTAATTAGACTAACTCTACAGCTGATTACCTTAATTGCTTGGATTTACTTACTACTTTTATACTGTTTCAAAGTATAATGGTCTTAATGTAAACAAAGTCTTGATAAGGAATCCAATTAGAGGCTGATGCAAGGACCAAATCCTAGCTGACCCCAAGTCGCACACCACAGATCTGATGTTTTAATACTCTGACAGTCTTGTGTCTAAACAGACTCTGGCTCAATCAAGGTGACAGAAGAAAGGAGATCTTTCTTCTCCTTATCTGGTCTGGAGCAAGTCTTCTTGAGTTGGACAAAGTTTAAAGAATTTGTATTCTTAACTCCTAAAAACCACTCCTTCAGAGCACGCAGCCTTGCCCTGGCAGAAGGCAGCTTCAAGGCTTCCAGCCAGCTGCTGTGTAGCAGCTGCAGGTGGAGGGGGATACACAACACACCAGGCTGCAGAAATATTAAAGTGACAGGATCTCACACTTTGTGCTCAGAGCCAGGAAAATGGGTCCGAACTGACTCCCCATTAACCGTCTCCCTTTGTCTATACTTTGTTCCCTATTCCTAATAATATTTCTAATCTAACAATAATTGAATATTGGTTTCAAACTTATAAAATCATTATTACTAGTAATGCAGACACATCCAGATAGGACTCCTCCCTTAAGTCTTCCCACATGCATTCTTCAGAAGACCATGCGCCAGAGTAGAAGGGTGACCAAGGTGGGGCATTTACTGCCTTGTCTATGGAATCCCTTATGTGCCTGAGACACCATCAGCTGCACCACTCTACCCCCTTGGGGTCCTGGCCCTCCTGACCAGGAGGCCATATCCCAATGGGGGTATGGTTGTCCCCTGAGGTTGTTGTGACAAATTCCATCAACTGAGTGGCACAAAGCAACTCAGATTTATTCTCTTACACTTCTGGAGGCCAAAAATCTAGAAGCAGGTCCTCAGGGCTGTGGGATGAATGCCCACATAAAACTAGCTAAATGAAATGTGCTCTTCTAATTCCAGAAATTGGGTGAAAAGACTTGTAAGTATTGTGTGTTTTGTAGAGGCCTTGCTGCCTGGGAGAGCATAGCAGGACCTGCAGGTAAGGTGATAACAACCTCCTGCATGGAACCCTGACTATGCCATCAGTCAGCCTGCCAGATAAGGGTTGATATGGCCCATCTGTGCAGGAGACATGGCTCAAAGGTTGATGTGAGTGAAAAACTCCATTGTTAAAGCGGGTGGACTCCAAACCACAAGAAAACAGAGTCATTGAGCCTGTTTCTCAGAAACTTAATTGCCTACATGGAAGAAAAAAGCTTTATTTCCCTGTTTGTCCTGACCTTTAACTTTGACAATGGAAGTCAGATAATGCAGGATTGCTTTAGGTCTTTAGAGGAATAGCTTGAGGCTAATCTTAAGATGGTTATCTTACTTTCCTGGATTTTCTGTCTTTTCTATATTCTAAGATAAGAATAGTTCCCGGACTTTCTGTCTTTTCTATAGTCTAAGATAATAGAGAATGTTAAGATTATTGATTAATGTGGTGTATGTGACTAGCTCCCTATAAAAGGAGTCGCCAATAAAGATGATTTGCTACATGCCACCCAAAGGCATGTAGTCGGTTCTTGCTTTCATACAATTCCGGGAGCGAGCTTGAACCCGCGGGTAAGCCGTCCTTCTCTCCCCAGGAGAAATTACCACCCAACACAGGGCTGGTTCTCCAGAGGCCCCAGGGCCAAGACCTGCCGTCTTCTCTGGCACCCCTCGGCTTGGACTCCTTCCCTGTCTCCAGGCACCACTGCAACATCTTCAGGTCCCTGGGCCCTGACCCTCCTGCCTCCCTCTTGGAAAGATCTGTGCTGTCATTAGATTTGCCTGGGTAATCTAGTGTAACCTCTCATCTCAAAATCCTTAATTTGAGCCTATCTTCATGGCTCCCTTTTCATACCTATGAGGTGCCGTACTTACAGGTTCCAGGGAGGAGGGTGTGGACATCTTCGAGGTCCATTATTCAGCCTGCCACATCCAGGGGAGAGCCACACCCGACCCTCAGGCCTCAGCCATCACAGTGATTCCCACTGGCAGTCCCCCTATAGGAGGAAAAGACTGACCTCCGGACCACAATCCACCCTGTGTCCACACAGTTTAGGGGTGACAAAGCCTTGGATCCCAGAGAAGGGGGTCTGGCCCGGAGCCCCAGCTGAGGGTACAGATCATGCTGCTGGAACGAGGACAGAGGAGTAGGGGGAAAGGAGAGGGCCCAATGTTGTGGTCTTGTTGGCTGTGGAGGTAGGTGGGCTGCTGAGCCTTGAAGGGGCATCTCTGGTGACACCACCACCAGCAGCGTCTGGCACCCTCACCCTGAGTTCTTCGGGGCCTTTTGGCACCATGAACATATCACATGTGCTGGGTGGGCCCAACCTTTGCAGTTTGCTCCCCCTCCCCCCACTGCCTACTCTGGCTGGACCTGTTCAGGGCCTTGGTTCACCTCAGGGCACCAGGGCCCCACCAGTGTCAAGAAGGCCTCAGGGATTACACCACATGCCTCACCCCATCTGGAATTAAGTTTCCACAAAGTGCCAGCAAAGGCTGTCCTCTCCAACAGAGCCTTCATCTCCATGAGGCACCTCCGACACTCAGAGCCAGCTTCCCACCAGGCCTGCCCCCAGTGCTGGCCCCTCCTCTCTCATTATTGCTGTTTTTTGTAGTAGCTTTATTGAGATATAATTCATGTTCCACACATGGAGAATTCGTGCTTTGGTTTTTAAGGTAGTACTGTTTCCAGGGTGTTAAATTAATCCTGGACAGGTGTCCCACTGCCCCCAAATTCAGTGATCACCTACAAAAATTCATGTCCACTTCCAACTTTAGAAAGTGATTTTATTTGGAAATAAGGTCTTTACAGAGCTAACTTGTCCAGTAAAATGAGGTCATAGAGGATCAGGACCCAAAATCCAAGGCCTTGCATCCCAGTAAGGAGGCAGCTGTGTGACCCGGAGGCCCAGACGATGGCAATGAGCACCAGCAAGGACCAGCTGGGCCCAGCAGTCCTGGAGACTAAGGCAAGTGGTTACTTCAAACTGGGGGTCCTTGTGGGGGTGGAGTGGGCCTCTGAGAGGGAGGACCCTTGGGGGACGAGCCTGAGATCTCAAGCCCCTCTGAGTGCCTGGGCTGTGGCACTACTCTCCCCTTACCCGCTTGCTTAAGGAGAAGGATCTCCCACACCCACAGGCTTACAACACTGCACGACTGTGCTAGGTGCCTCAGGGGACAGTGCTGTGCCTTCCAGGTCTGGCTTCAGCACCTCTCAGGGCTCCAGGATCACTGCCAGTCAGGTCTCAGCCACACAGAGTGACTGAGCTGGAAGGAATGTTGTGACACCCCTGAGAGTTGGGAAAGGGCCCCTGGAGCTGCCCCGGGGTCTGTCGAGATGCTCCTTCAAGTGTGGACTTGCCAGTCCTAAGGCCACGAGGTGCAGCCTCACTCCCCACCTGCCTGCCTGCTCCAGCTTGCCTGCCTTTGCTGCCAGGTGTGGGTACAGCATGGGGTGATCTCGTCTCTCTGCGTCATTCCTCATGGGTTCCAATTCTGTTACAGCAGAGCCACTGATGAGCTTTCACAGAGCAGATCCTGGACCCAGCCCAGACCTGTACAGTAGAGTTCCAGGCCTCATTGGTGGCTTCCAGTGTTGGCTAGGGCAGAAGGCCCTCCCTGGACCTGCAGAGCCACCTGGTCGACCACTGTCCTCCTCACAGTGTAAGCCAAGCAGGCAGGCACAGCAGCGCTCATCACAAGCTCCTGATGCACTGTTACAGAACTGAGCCTGAGGACACAGACAGGAGAGGCTGACAACCCAGACAGCTGCACCCACCAGCTGTCCAAAGGAACCCCAGGGACCCCAGCTCCTGTGGTCATGCTGAGAATCTGGAAGGAACCTTGGAGGGGCTCAAGGGCTGAGCTCCCCTTGGGTGACCAGTGCAAGTCTCTCCTACCCTTGAGGGCAGAGCAGGTAAGTGCACAGTCATAGCCCTGCAAGCGAGGACCTGGCCTCTCTGAAAGTCAGCTTTTCTGTGATTATTTAGGGCATAACTGCTCAGTGCAGCAGGTGTGCGTGTCACGCAGGAACCTCTTGCTCCTGCCACCAGCAAGTGGGAGGTGAGGTGGCCATGAAATGACACAATCCCTATCCACTGCAAGTGATGGACATGCTGCCCTCCAGGGGCTCTGATACAGCAGTCATCACCAACTCCAAACTGCCCCCTAGCGGGGCAGTGACCACCTGATCGCTCATCCCCAACTGAGTCACACCAGGACTCCAGAGCCAGCTCCCGGGCAAAGCCACATCTGCCATGCCTTGACTGGCGCCCAGCTGGGACTGCTGGGGAGCCTCCTGCCTGAGTTCCCAGCCTGCTCTCCTGGGAGAGGTCAACCCACCTGTGTCTAGGGAACTCGCGGGCATAAATCAGCCCCGGGAGTGGGGACTAAGCCACATGGCATAGCTGTTGGTGTGTTCCTTTGGGCTGTAATTATCTCTGTTTTCTGATTTTTTAACCCATTAAGAGGGCAGGAGTAAGCAAGGCCTCGGGGAAGATGGAGGATAAAGGGAGGATGTGCAGCTGCCCCAAGCAATTCCACCCGGCCCCACCTGCTGCTCCCAGGCCAGGCAGCAGCAGTGTCCTGAGGAGCATCCTCTTGTCCTTCCAGCTGGCCCTCAGGGTCCCAGCCACCACCCGCTTTAGGTCAGCCCTGTGGTCACATGCAGCCTTCTGTAAGAGAATTCTGGGAAACACAGCTCTCTCCACCTTGGCACATTGGCTAGTGATGCTACCTTTCCCCAGATTCTGGCATCCCTGTCTCAGCTTAGTGGTAGCTCTGGCCTTGCCTGGGCTCCACTGGTTATGTGGCCACACCTACTTGCAAAGGAGGCTGCAAGTGCTCTTTTTAAAAATCTGGGCCCAGCCAGGAGCAGTGGCTCACGCCTGTAATCCTAGCACCTTGGGAAGCTGAGGCAGGTAGATTACGTGGGCTTAGGATTTTGAGACCAGGATTTTGAGCGAGTTTTTCCCACCTGTATGAGAGGTGGAGAGAAAGGATCTGGGCAGGGAAGAAAGAGTCCAGCCACCTGGTATCATAAGCCCTGTTAGAGGGGCCCCATCTGCCTTGCTGCACATTCTTAGCCCAGCACAGCGTTGGCACAAGCACACTGAGATGTGGGCAAGGAGATGGCAGCCAAGCAGGTGATTGCGAGCTCAGGGGAGTCGGCATGGCTTTGCATATCCAAGGGATCTCAAGGAGCAGAGCTTTGAAATGCTGAGCTGTGGGCGGCACCTATAGCTCAGCCAGTAGGGCGCCGGCCACATACACGGAGGCTGGAGGGTCAAACCTGGCCTGGGCCAGTTGACACAACAAAAAAAATAGCCAGGCCTGTGTCGAGCGCTTATAATCTCAGTTGTGACACTGAGGCAAGAGAATCGCTTAAGCCCAAGAGTTCGAGGTTGCTGTGAGCTGTGAGACCACAGCACTCTACCCAGGGCAAGAGCTTGAGACTGTCTCAAAAAAAAAAAAAAAATGCTGAGCTGTGTCTCTGCCTTCTGTGGAGACAGAAGATGGGAATGAACAGTTTCCAGGCCGCCCAGTCAGGACTTGCAGATACTTTACCCAGTAACGGAAGGATGCAGTTACCCACGTCTACAATTTTCTCTTGCACAATTTACACCAATTATGTGCTATTCTTTTTCTCCTTTACTTTGAATCTAATCTCATCTCCATCAGTTGATGCCATTCATAGAGCTCCTTTTCTGACAGCAATCTGAGGAGACTGCACAGGAGGCCGTGGGGCAAACTGTGGTGCAAGACACCCTGGGATACCTAGAGCACAGAGAAATCCCACCCAGCAGTCTCAAATGGGAGCAGGACGTGCTCCTTCCATTCTACGTAACACCAAGAATCATCGGTGGAAACCACTGACTGATTCTGGACGCTATGACCAGTAACCTCTGCTGACAACCAGACACCATTTTTCAAACTGATATGCTTGTCCCAAGGTGCCTCCCCCACCTTCCCAAGGAGCTTGTGCATGGGGCACACGTGGCTTTGCACACACAGTGCTCAGCCAAGCTGCACTCTACTCTGCAGACACAGGACTCAGCTGCCCCTCCTGCACACATCACTCTCTCGTGCAGTGTGAAGTGTATGAATGTGTCTGATTGGATATGGAACAATGCTCTAGAATGGGATTTGCTCAAACCCCCTCAGTTTAGGGAGAAACTGAGGCTTAGGGACAGAGCTTAGAGTTAAGGCAACAGTATGCAGAGAACTAGTTAGGAGCACAGGTGGTGGGAGGCCTGGGCGTGAATCATGGGTCTACCAGCCACCTGCTGTGCCCAGGGACTGTCTCCCTGGCCTCCATGCCCTTGAGCAGAAGGACCCATAGAGGGCAGCTCATGCCAGTGCTGGGCACGCAGGGGCAGCATGGCCTGTGTCGTGTCAGCTGTGAGAGACCTTTATAAACACTCCCAGGAGTGTCCTCTCACCGTCCTGGTACATCTATGCTGTGATTATAGTTTTAGGTTGAGAAAAAAATCCAAAACACAGGAGGCAATTTGTAAATACTTAAAATATATGTATTTCCCTCTTTGACAATAACTAAGTTAAGATCACCAACAGGGAATGAAAAAGTCAATACAGTGACATTTAAGAACAGAGGCACAAGAGAAGCTGCTCAGCACAGCCCCTCCCACCCGGACAGTGCAGCAGAGAGATGAATCTACTTCCTGACCCCAGATACATGCTCACAGATGACAGTGTCACCGTCGCATGGGCAAAGGTCACACGCGAGACCAGGAATTAGAAATAGGTCAGCTCGTCATGTCTGGCTTTGTCGGTCTGGTAGTCAGACAGGGCCAAGGGCTTGTTTTCATGAGGGAGACTCTGAAACACTCGCAGGTGTACGAATTTCTCATCACCAACATGAACCTGTAGGAAGAGAATCAAGTGAGTGGAGCCTCTGACCCGAGTCCCCTTGCATGGGCACTATCCTTGGAGTCAGGTGCTATGCCCCCTCAGTTTGCCAGCACCTTCTCCTTCAGGAGCAATGCCACCCTCTCGCTCCACCAGAGTCCTTAGCTGCCTGAAAGCCTCTCCTGTGTGTTAGGCCCACACACACTCAAGGCCTGAAGCTCGTCCTCCAGGGCTGACGCAGGACTCCCACTGAGAAACCCCCTCCCAGCCTGCACAAGCTGCCTCCGTGTGGTCCCTGCCCCACCTTGATGAAGAAGTTTGTCCCTGCCACCACCTGGGACTTGAACGACACAGCTTTGAAGACAGGGAACTTCTTATTTTCTTTCTCTTCAAGCTGGGACTTCACCTGGGGGAGAGGAGAGAGTGGAGAGAACGGGGTAACTCAGTGGCTTCACTCCTGCTGGGGCAACTTACACATGTGACCACATCAGCACATGGGACTGTTCTCAACACAACTGTTCCCTATAATTGAGGGGACGTAGCAACTGTTAGCCCTAATAAAGTAAAAAAAACAATTCCTTCGTCATTCTACCAAAGTTTTTTTTTTTTTTTGAGACAGGAGCCTCAAGCTGTCCCCCTGGGTAGAGTGCCGTGGCATCTCAGCTCACAGCAACCTCCAACTCCTGGGCTCAAGCGAGTCTTCTGCCTCTGCCTCCCAAGTAGCTGGGACCACAGGCGCCCACCACAACGCCCGGCTATTTTTCTGGTTGCAGCCATCATTGTTGTTTGGCCGCCCAGGCTGGATTCGAACCTGCCACCTTGGGTGTATGTGGCTGGCGCCTTAGCCACTTGAGCCACAGGCGCCGAGCCTCTACCAAAGTTTTAATGATACTACTTCAGGACATCATTTGCCTTTTCTTTTCTAGGCATGGCACATTTTATGCTTTTATCATTACAATACTATATTACAAGTTTATACCTTGTTTTTTTTTTTCACTTGATATGAAAACATTCCATTTGAAAGACTATATTCATGGGTGGTACCCACAGCTCAGTGGGAAGGGCTCTGGCCACATACACCAAGGTTGGCAGGTTCAAACCCTGGCCTGGGCCAGCTAAAACAACAGTGACAACTGCAACAACAACAAAAATAGCCAGGTGTTGTGGCAGGCACCTGTAGTCCCAGCTACTTGGGAGGCTGAGGCAAGAGAATTGCTTAAGCTCAAGAGTTTAAGGTTGCTGTGAGCTATGACACCATAGCACTCTACCCAGGGCAACAACTTGAGACTTGAAAAAAAAAATTAAGACTATATTCATGATTTTTAATTAATCTTTGAATTAAGATTAAAGTAATCTTTGATTACTTAAAGTAAAAAAACAATTCCTTCGTCATTCTACCAAAGTTTTTTTTTTTTTTTTTGAGACAGGAGCCTCAAGCTGTCCCCCTGGGTAGAGTGCTTAATCTTTCTTACTGTATTAGATAATGCCACAGGTGACATGCTTTGTCGGTGAAAAGCTCCCCACCCCGCAAGATTTCTTTAGGATACAGTGGTCTGGCACAGGCTGATCCTGACCTTAGGGGCAAATAGCGAACAGACTCTGAATTCAAGAGTCTTTGACTTTTAGCAGCTGATTACCTTTATAATGAAAGAAAAGGGAAAAAAATTAAATCTACTGTAGTCTAAAAGTACCCGGGGTACTATTCAGTCACAGGGTAGACACCAAACAGACTACACTCACTGGGCAACTAGGCCAGTCCCAGAGATGGAAGGATTTAGTTTAAACAAACCAAAGCTATCCCATCAGTTAAGAAGTACAAATAAAAGGAGTCATCAAAGTAGCCTGGCCAAAAGCGATGTCACCTCTGGAGTCTTCAGGGAAAATGCTTGCAGGGACAGGCATGGACAGGCAATGACGGGAGGCCTGGAAGATGCAGTGAGCCACAGGTGCTGTCCTGCCACCCCTCTGCCCATGGCATGCTCTGGCATGCTCCTCGCCCCACTGGGCACAAGGCCAGGCCACTGTCTGCTGAGGGCGCCACACCAATGCTGTGACAGAGAGCAAGGTGGGCTGGGCTTTTGTCCAGGGAGTGATGGAAACCCAGAGATCAGCTGAAAAGCCAGACTGCTGCCCTCAAGGGACTGAGGTAGGGTACCTGGAGTGGCCCGGGGGAGGGTCCCCCAAGTGCTGGGACAGAATGCACAACCTTTGGGCCTTTGGTCATTTCTGGTCTCTGCTTTCCTCGTCTGCAAAGTGGAAAACAGGAACACTGTGTGGAGGGCTCTCGCTCAGTGGAGAGTGCTTGGAAAGAGATCATAACCAAAGGCTACTGGCAAGAGGGTCCTCAGTAAGTGTGCCCACTCCGCCCCCTTGCCTTTCTGTAGAGACCACCCAGTAATAGGCCAGCCTCAAATCTCTCCCAGCAGCTGCAGCTGCCACCCACTCACTGGTCACTCTGAGACAGCAGGTCTTCCCTGCTGGCTGCCACAAGAACTCATTCAAAGTTTGTGGTGATAAAGAAGGAATTCCTCAGGCCTGGAAAGCCCCAGGCAGCTGGGAAAGATGAACCAGTTTTCCAGGCGTGGCTCACAAGCACAGTCTGCACAGGCACATTTGGGACAAATTCCTCATTTTCAAAGGCCTCATGGAACTGACTCACCACCTTTTCCTGCAGTCAAGATGGTCAAAACCATGTGAGCCATGACCCTACGGGCTGACCATAGGCCACCAGGTTTAGGAAGCAGCAGCCAGGAAAGGAGACTTCGAGGACAAAGAAGCCTGCTCTACTTTCCCAATTCTTACTGGCAACAAGGGACGCAAGGCCTGGCACCCCACATCTTTCCTGCTGGTAGAGAACAGACTGTGTTAACAGTGACAGCTGGGGCAGGCCTGGCTTGGCACACTAGGAGTCTCCTATGTACAGTACAAACTCAGCCTCCCCACAACCCTCTGCCCATTTCACAGATGAGGAAACTGAGGCATGAGGACCAGCTGCCCAGAGTCTGTCCAATGCAACCCAGCCTGGTCTTTATCTTTTGAGTTTTAACTTTTTACCTGGATTTACACTTTGGAACAGGGCTAGAGTAAGAAAAGCATGAAGGATGCCTGAGTGCCCTTTGTGCAGACACATCCAGTCTCTCCCATGCACATTGAGCGCTCTTACTCTCCTTCTCCATTATTTCCTCAACTATTTGGGAGTCTTGACAAAGCTCTTGTGCTTGGCCAAACTTCAGTCAGGTTCCTGACTCTCCTCCTTGTGCAAAGACCCTGCTCAGTCTGTTTAGCCAAAACAGGCGGTTGGTTCCCTCTCAGGTGGAGTCTGATTGCACCCCCAGAAAGACCCCCCAACCCACCTCCAAGGCAGGGACACCCCTGCTGGTAGAACCCCTTGCTGGAGCTGCCTGGAGCCCTGCCCCTCCCCTCCTGTCCTGTCCTACACCTCCCGCATTGTGGGCAGTGCCTGTCTTACCGCCTGTGACAGCATCTTGAAAGGCCCTTCACCACTCAATACTCGAGCCCACGTTTCCAAAGACCAGAGGGATCTTCTCCCATAAATATAACCTCAGCCGAATTACCATCCTCCAAGTCTGCAGCTATAGACATTTGAGCCTGTACCACGGACTACTGTTCGAACAGTCGGGCATGCCCAGCACGGGAGGGGAGTGGGCGCCGCACGCCCTTCCCTGGGCCCCTCTCGCGCTCCCCGCAAAGCCGAGCGCCCCGGAGAGAGTCCTGGGCAGGGGTCCCTGGGCCGGAGCCGCCAGGCAGAGGTGCCGGCCACCCTGTGCTGTCACCCTGCAGTTTTAGGCCCCACCTGGTCAGCGATGTCCTGGGTCTTGGCCGTGGCCGGCTGAGTGGCGGTGGTCCCTCCGCACATCATCTCGGCGGCAGCTGGAGGGATCCGGAGGAGGTGACCGGATCTGACAAACGGTTGCGGCCTAAGGCACTCCGCGAGCGGATCTGCTGGGGTACCCGGAGGCTGATGTCCCGTCCAAGTGGGCGCGGCGGTCACGTGACGACCGGGCGGCACCAAGGCGCGGGGGGGACCCTGTTTGGGAGCCTCTGTGGGGTTGCCCTCCTCGGCAGAAGCGGGGCCGCAGGTGGGACGTGAGGCGCGGAGTGTGGCCTCAGTCGCCGCAGGTGCCGTCTCCGGAGGCAGGGCCGGCGTTCTGCACTGAAACAGGGCCACAGGGAGGTGGAATGGGGCAACCCGGCCCGTGGTATCGTCCGCCCTGCGGCCCAGTCTCGAGCCCGGGAGGGGCGGGCCGGGAAGTGGGTGCCTGCTGCGGGCAAGAGGCTGGGGACGCAGCCCGCGGTGGGCGGGACCCCGGGCGGGGGAGGAGATGCAGGCTGGCTGGGGGCACGGGCGGGAGAGGGGATGCAGGCCTACAGGGGGACACGGGGCGGGAGAGGGGATGCAGGCCTACAGGGGGACACGGGGCGGGAGAGGGGATGCAGGCCTGCAGGGGACACAGGGCGGGCGGTCAGCTGGGGGTGCGGCGATGCCGGCTGCAGTGGCCGTCACAGCGCTTGAATCTGAAGCCGGCGCCTGAGGGCTCCAGGCTGGCGGGGGCGAGGGGCAGGAGGCAGGTCGGCGGTGAGTGCTTGGTTCTGTGAGATTTGATTTTAGGATTTAGACTGGACTCAACCCCCTGGGTTTGGGAAGGGCCGCTCGCCTCATTTCAGGTAGCGGTGGCCTCCTTCGGACAGACAGATGGAGCCTGTCCCCAGACCCCTAGGGATGCTCCTCAAGGGGGCCTGGGCCTGTTTACCCCTTGGTGCTGACACTGGGCTGAGGGCGCTCCCAGAGCAGGGTCTCACAGGAGGACCCTTTCGGGTCCTGCCAGGCCGCTGCCAGTCTGTAACTTGGGAAGGGGCGGGGTCTGGAGTCAGGTGCTTTGGGCCCTAGGGATGAGAGGGAGAGACTCCGTCCTTGTTGAATGTACACATATTTAACTCCGTAAAAATGGAAGACTACTGCGGAGAAACTGAAGCACCAGGAAAATATGGTAGAGGAGAAAGGAAGGTAGCTCTGCGGTCCCTTCGGATCTAGCTCTGTGTGGCTTTTGTCTGGTGGGGGGTGCCCACATTTTACAAATACAGTCACACCTGTGGAAATAAGGCGGCTCCAACCAGAACAAAAGGCGAGTGATTCAGGGCTTGCTAGAAAAGAGGTGCGGCCAGCCTGCTTGTGTTGGCAGAGACCCAAAGGCAGGCAGGGCAGAAGGAGCCCCCAGCCCGGTGTCAGCACCCAGGGGAAGGCTCCGTGTGCCCTGATGGGAGCTGGAGGAAGAGCTCACTGTAGCTGCATTCTGATGCAGGGAGGGTGGGGGTGAAGTTAAGAAGGCCCCTGACTCCTCATGTGGGTTCTTGGCTTCTCCTGGGAAAGAAGTCAAGCCTTAGTTGACTAGCGACCAGAAGTTTGTTGACAGACTGCCTGCCCTATGGAGCAAGAGTCTCCTGAGTAGGTGGGGCACCTTATGGGGCAGTGGTAACCTTTTTTATGTGTTCAAAGACCCTGTTAGGAAACAGCCATATGTGACCAACATTATCTTGAGGTCAGGACATAAAGCTTAGTCACAAACTGCTGTCACAGGAAGGTGAGCACAGTTGGTAAGACGTCCAGCGTCCAGCGTAGTAATTCATCCATCACCAGGTGGCCCTGGGCCTGCGACTTGCTGGCTGCTTCCTTGTTCAGAGTCGATAGGGTCTGGTATCCACCAAAAGACCTGCACTTGGTCTCTCTTGACCTTTCTTTTGTTGATGGAAAATAACCCACACTCTGTAAAAGAGTTTAAAGAGCTTTATTCTGAGCCAAATTGGAGGACCAGGACCCGGAGCCATGCTCAAGAAGCCTTCAGCAGGTGGGCTTATGGTTTGGTTTCATACACATCAGGGCAACAGGAATTACAGGTAGGTCATAAATCAATAGTGGAAGGTGTACATCGGTTTGGCCTGAAAAGGTGAGACATCTCAAAGCAGACCAGGAATGAGCACAAAGGAACCTGGTTAAGGTCAGGGTCTGTGACTCACAGACAAACTATAGGACACAGGGTGATTTGTTGTGTATATTGAGGACCTGCAGGTGTGTCTTGCATAACTTTGGGCCTGTCAGTGAGTCACAAAGGACATCTCTGGTTGGGGAGGGCATGATGAGGCCTGTCTGAGCTCCTTTCTCATGGTTAGCAACGCACTTTTAGGGATCCCCTTAGCCAAGATGGGGGGGGGGGCAGTCTGTCATTCACTAGGGGAGGCTCTAGTTAACCCTGAATTGGAAAGACAGACGTCTGGGCAGCTGCAACCTGGCCTCACCTATGGCTAGGAACCCTGTGGTCCCTGTGGGCCACAGGTCTCTCCTCACACGTGTGCAGGCTGCCTGCTGTGTGTGCTCAGACAAAAGGAAAGAAGGCCCGGTTTGTGCAATTACAATGGCCTTATTCCTGGGCGGTGCCTGTGACTCAGTGCGTAGGGTGCTGGCCCCATATACCAGAGGTGGCAGGTTCAAACCTGGCCCCAGCCAAAAAAAGAATAGCCAGCGTTGTGGCGAGCGCCTGTAGTCCCAGCTACTCGGGCTGAGGCAGGAGAATTGCCTAGGCCTAGGAGTTGGAGGTTGGTGTGAGCTGTGATGCCACAGCACTCTACCGAGGGTGATAAAGTAAGACCCTGTCTCTAAAAAAAAAAAAAAAGGCTTTATTCCACCCTGGATGCAGGTGGGGTGTCCAACCCAGAAGAAATCCACCCATGGGTAATGGCGGATGGGGGAGTTGGGGGTTTAAAGGTCAGGAAGGTGGGGGTCAGAACTTTCCTGGGTTGGGCATCTGTGAGGGTGGAGGTTGGCCCATTTGCCTTTCCCAGGTGGGACATCCAGTGAGGTGGGGTAGGGGGTTGGCCCATTCCCCTTGAGCCTAAGAGTTTGAGGTTGCTGCAAGCTGTGTTTTCTCAGTACTCTATACTGAGGGCAACAAAGTGAGACTCTGTCGCAATAAAAAAAAAATGCACAAAAAATGAAGGATATGTTAGATATAGTCCCTTTTGGGGACTTTCCTTCTTTTCCTCATTTTTTTTTTCCCTCATTTTCTTTTCTTTTTTTTTTTTTTTTGAGACAGAGCCTCAAGCTATTCCCCTGGATATGGTGCTGTGGCATCACAGCTCACAGCAACCTCCAACTCCTGGGCTCAAGCGAGTCTCCTGCCTCAGCCTCCCAAGTAGCTGGGACCACAGGCGCCTG